CCGCCCGAGCTTAGCCGGCCAGAGATATTTTGCCGTTGTCACTCCCACACCACGATGAGGTGCCTGGGTCAGAATTTTGTGGCAGATGATGCATTTATTCTTTGATATTCAATTTATTTATTTGATTTCAGACTCTGGTTAAATTTTGATTTTGCAGATATTTTGTCTTCACGGCGGGCTTTCGCCAAGCATTGATACACTCGACCACATCAGATCTATTGATCGATTGCAGGAAGTGCCGCACGAGGTTTGTATGAAATGAGCTTTGTATTATTTCTACAGTAATTTATAGGGACCTATGTGTGATCTTCTTTGGTCTGATCCGGATGATAGAGGAGGATGGGGAATATCACCTCGAGGTGCTGGATACACGTTTGGGCAGGATATATCCGAAACATTCAGTCACACTAATGGCATATCGTTGATTTCACGGGCCCATCAGCTAGTGATGGAAGTATGCATCCGTGCATATAGCTAATTAAGTTGCGATTCGATTGTTTTTGTTTAGGGTTATAATTGGTGCCATGATCGACAGGTGGTGACCGTGTTTTCTGCCCCGAATTATTGTTATCGTTGCGGGAATCAAGCTGCAATTATGGAGCTCGATGATAGTTTACAATATTCATTGTAAATGATTATTAAAGTTTTATTAGTTGTCTAAAATTTATTGTTTTAGCCTGCAGTTCGATCCTGCTCCACGGCGGGGCGAGCCGCACGTTACGCGTAGAACGCCCGACTATTTCCTGTGAAGTTGTGTTGTGGGAAATTCGCTGTTGTAGCTGGAACGTTTTCTGCTGTTGGATTTGTTTTATCTGGAGTCTTGTCTATATACCATATCTGTACAGATTGATTCCATTATTAGTGTAGTACATTTGTCTTGCAGATTTTGGCTTTTTCGAAACTTTTACGATATGGTCCTTCGGAAATGCAGCTCACTGAATATTTCTGATTAAAAACGAGTTAAACTGGTTTGTGAAGTAAACTGCTGCAGGCTTTGTCCTTGTATTCTTCCGTCTGTTGAAATACTGTGGTTAAAAGCTTTGGAACTGTTTTTGACTAAAAGTCGATGACGTAAGAAATGTTTGAGGTCTCGGCAATGGATGTCGCAAGGTTTAAAATCTTGTGAACGGGAAATTTTCATTGTGGTAGTGTTATATATTCCATGCAGTAACTTATTTTTATATACTCCAAACTTAGAAATTTAGTGCCTATAATGATAACCAGAATGTACGTGTAATAATTTTTTGTTTTTTTCGGTGTTGTTTTTTTTGACGTAGGCATGTCTACAATGACAGATTTTTGGGAATAATTTTGCCTAGATCCCTATTAGATGGCGAATAAGGTATCGATTCGTTGTTGATGTTGAACAATAGTTATTTGTGGAAATGGTGTATTATGTGCACAATTCAGAAGGTCATTGACTGATACTGACGTATAGGACCATGTCTCATGGCCCTTCAAACAAAATATTTTTTTGGGTATCATCACCTTAAGCCGTCGCCATAAGAACACCTCTGGTTTGTGATGTTCGCTGCATTCGCAGCTTTCCAACAGTTATTGTAAGGCACCGGTTACTTAATCGCAGAAGGAAGTATTTCTCTTATATCTATCTGTACCATATTCCTCCATGTTGCATCAACTCCTGTTTAACACCCGTCGTGTTTCGACTTCTACAGTAGCTGCTCACGGCCTGGCTTATAAGTTTTTCTAACGGGACCAGCCCTCCTTAATCTCCACATTTGCTGAGATTAACTTTGCCAGGAAAGGAATAGTCATTCATTATACGGTTCTCATTTATATATTGGGCAGGTTAGCACAAATCCTCGATACTAGGTATACTAGTTTTCTCTGGTTAGAAAGTGCCAGCGCTGAAGATGATGGAGCCGAGGTACTAATACTGATCAGCCTTACAAATTTCACGGAGATGCCCCACGGTCATCTGAATAATTAAGCTTTTAATCCGGGGGGCGTCCAGGTGATATGGTGAATATAGTGGTGAGGTAAAATAGTCCCTTCGACGATTATATAATATACTGTTTGTGGAACTAAAGTTAAACGCCTGTCGTCGCCATATACGCTGTCAATACCGTTATGGTCAAGTACGCCTGGGCATGTGCCGTACTAGGCTCCCATCTCCGCGATGTGGTCGCCTGTGACAAGTTTGACCTCGTGATGCGACAAAGTGCTAACAGCGAATTGTGAGCATTCATAGTAAGTGTTTTTGTCGCTTTCACTAGGCATTTATCATGACATAGTCAATGAAGATATCCAGCGTTGCCTGTTAGATATTCAGGCGACAGACAAGGGTTCTCTGCAATACCTGTTGCACCGAAATAATTGCCCGGTTTACCCAGAGGAGAGGGACAAGACGATACCCACATTAGCACGGCGAAATCTGAAGCGTCCCTTTCTCTGAGAGGCGAGTTTCCCTACCCCCTGCACATCGAATTTGTACCGACGGATCATGGTCATGATCTAACTCACGTTCGTTAGATATGGAACGAACGTTCCATTGAAGTTACCTCGTATAGTGTTACTGTCTGAATCATGGATTTCTTGGTTCTTAGGTCACTGGTAAGTTGCTAGCTGGAGGCGAGCTCTGGGTAACTAATTTCCGGAAAAGCAGTATATTTGCCGCCGCTAGGTAAGAAATCAGCCTGGCAAGGTTACTGTATAGACCTCAGTGGCTATTCCAGTGATCTACAGCTGGTTAATTTTAAAGTCTGGTGAACTGAAGCCTTGTTTTCCTACTCACGTCTCAAGGCAGCAATTAACAGTTCCGACGTGAAATCCACGGCGATGAATGGTACAAGCATTGCAGTCACTCAGATGTTACAGAACTGTTATTGCGGTCGTGCTATTTCATTTGTATGCTGTTTCCCTAATGATAACACTGGTATTCTGTGTCGAAACGTTGGTAAATGAAGGATTTTACTTCCTTTTTTAGCTGTTGCTTTGAACCGCAGATAAGAAGTTCTGGCAATCTGGAAATTCTTATTTGATGCAGTTTCACTTATTTCACGAAATGAATGCTTCTAGAGGAGCAAAACTAGTAGACTTTATTGTGGGTGCTTTGAAAAGTAGTGCTCTGTATCCTCTCAGCTTTTCGTAGGCCTTCGTTTTGGGGTGGTGTTCTGGCCATCCTGGCATAACTGTTCCGCGTCAGAATGTATTGACCTGTTTCGATTCACTTACAAACTGTCGTTAGGAGAAAATTTTTTAACAAGCTGATGACGTACAGGTGGTGTCCTTATGAAGTGAGCATTTAGAGATAGAATATATCGCAATCTGTTCTTTATGACTGCTATTGAACTTAATCTAATGGGGTTGTTGATGGTCCCATCGACTGCCTTGTCCAGTTTACACGTTCGACTTGTTCCTTTCGCGTATAGTCAGGATCCTATATCGGGTTTTGTTCATGTAGAAAAAATGTTTAAGTTGCCGTGTCGCAGTTCCAGTTTGCTCTCAACAGTGGTTGAAGCTGATTCTAATTGTTCATTAAGCAACTTGAATGGAACGATGAAGAGCGAGAGGGAGATCAGCACTGCTGCTGTAGAGCCTCTGTGATGTGTACAGTCGTAGTGGATGCCAGCTTCTGGTAATCGCGATTTCCCTGTTTACTTTAAGGTTCATTTCACGATTTACATTGCCTAATCTTGTTGCGAATTTATTTGTTCCATTTGGAAACGGTCGCTTCAAGCTGGTGCGGACTCTGCACTAGAGAGCATAAGGTGAAGCCCCGTAATGCGTAGAACTAGCGCTCAGCGGTTGCGATGCCGTATTTCAGAATCTTACATTCTTAAAATTACTATTTCAGTTTGGCGGGAAGAACTGAGAGCATGTTCACCATTTGTATTGCAATCTGGAACTGCCTACGCGATGTCATTTCCATAAATGTATCCGCATTCATCGATGCTGTTGATAGAAGATGGGTGATGTGTATGGATAACAGTGAAGGAAAATGTTCTTAAGGGTGTCCATCGTTGATTACCTTTTTTGATAACATGCCCGTTGATATACCCGTCATTCGGTGATCATTGCCACAGTAATTCGCATTCTTCCCAACTTTTTCGTCCTGGGTGATGTTGCAGACTTCGCAAAGCTAATTGCTCTAGGCCATACAAGCCGAAGATAAGTTGACAAGTAAGAATAGTATTTTTGTTTACTTTTGAGTCTAACTTCCTTAAAATTAGCAAGTGAAGACGGTTCCTCACAGTGGTTGGCCTAAGACCGCTATTTCTTTAGGGAAGACGATTTCAGTAATTAACAATTGAGGACAATACTTAATAACAATTTTTTGCACACACAACAGCGAGATGGACGTCGGGCCATCGCTCATCGCTGTTTGTCTTCCCGGTCTTACAAAACAATGGGGTTAGGAGCTAAGTGATTGAATCAATCTCGATTTAAAAAAATTAAGGAGAATGGTGAACTGGTTAGATCTTTAGACCCTTCCTTTACGGTGTTCTGAGCTGTATCTACTTATTTATGTTGCCATAATCCTATTTCCCAAATACAGTCATTTGCTTCCAGTAGTCATCATCAACCAACTATGGTATGTAAAAAATGTTAAGATAGATCTAAATCCCGGCTGTATGTTTACATTCCTGATAAATTTGTATTCTGTATGTAACAGCATTTTAATTGAGTGTTTTTTAGTATTCATTTCCGTTTTATTTTTATTGTTTGTTTGTACATTATATTCATTTATATTGACATTGGTTTTATCTTGCATTCAGTCCAAAACTGATGGCGTTTTTTGTATTAGAATCAGCTGAACATTGGAAATTTGAAAACAGGGAATGAACTTTCCTGCGTAAGTTTGTGAATTGAAATTTATTAATTTATTTTAATCTAAAAGCCTTAGTGCAAGTAGTCGTGTGCGAAAGACACGGAAGCACGCTGCTGAGGGTCTTAAAGAGTACGAATTGTCGAAGAAAGCCACTGCAACGATTGGAAGTGGAAATCTTCGCAAAGCGGTGATGTTACCCGAAGGCGAGGACTATAATGAATGGCTTGCTGCAAACAGTGAGATATTTGACCTTTTCGCATTTGGACTCGATTTAATAAACGGCATTTAGTCGTGGATCTTTTTAACCAGATATGCATGCTTTACGGCACTATTGCTGAATTCTGTACCCCTGAAAAATGTTCAGTCATGTCTGCCGGATCTAAATACGAATATTATTGGACTGATGCAAATAAAAAGCCTATGAAGTGTAGCGCTCCACAATACGTTGACTACTTACTATCTTCGGTTCAGGTGCAGCTTGATGACGAGTCGTTGTTTCCGTCAAAAATTGGTATTTGATTTATTCGCTCAAGAATGTGCTGATAATTATTCTTTAGGGGTACCTTTCCCAAGCAATTTTCTACAAGTCGCTCAGACCATAATGAAACGATTGTTTCGAATTTATGCGCATATTTATTATCAGCATTTCGACGACGTTGAACGTTTGAAGGAAGAGCCTCATTTTAACACGTCATTCAAGTTTTTTACGTTATTCGTGCAAGAATTTAATTTAATCGAACACAGAGATCTGCAGCCTTTGCAAGATATTATCGACAAATTGGTTTGCTAGATGTGTATGTATTCAGAGAATTTTAAATATGTAATATGTATAATATATAAATATTTGCTTCGGAATGCTAATGTTTTGTTTCAACGAACCTAATAAATTTTTTAGTAAATATGAAGGCAACTCAGGCCAAGTCAAGTTGACTGCTGCAACAGATGGTCGGTATCTGAAGCAGTTATGCAGGACTGTGTAAGATAAGTGCGGCATTTCTGAACGTATAGATTAATTAAGGTTTTCATTGGTACCTGTCTTATGCAAATTATGGCATATCCAAAGTTTAAATCTGTATAATTACAGAAACTAGCATTGAACGACGATTGAACATAATTCTTATTTCTAAACAGCATCTACATAGTAGTAGTAGCAGTCATCAAATACTCCAATGATCATTCGCTGACATTTTAGGTGACTGTTTATCGTATTCCCATTTTCTTTGTCGCTCTCGATAAATCTGATCTCGGTGTTCACCTTGCAACGAGCGAATTAGTGAATCTCCTGACACTTAAAGCACAGTAATGAATGATTTCTAACTTTGATGATCTGTAACGAATTGCGATGGCAACGAAAGGCTAACTCATTGTTTTTGTCTTCAAAACAAATTTGCTGTAAGACAGTAACTTCTACCAAAAATTATTCATAAAAAAAATTTTATATGACCATCTGTAATAATTCTGAGAGAAAGTAAGTGAGGATGCATTTTCATCAGCCTAAAGATTGATTAAAACCAGTGTCGGATGTCACCTGTAAATAAATCCGACCAGACCAAAGCAGATGTGTATCCAGATCATGTACTGGAAAAAAATCATGTAAACGAAGAAACGGTTTAAGGATACGTTCGCTGAGGTTTTATATAACGCTTTCATACTTCTAAATTGAAAGAGATAACGTTTAAGTGACGTTAATGCTGTTCTTCTTATTATATACCGTCCGCAGTTTAGAAAATATTGCATCAGAATGATTGACACCAAGAGAGAAAACAGCAAGGCCGATGGGTTGATTTCACACTTTTTCGTAACATCTACCGCATTTTAGAAGATTTATTTATAGTCTATCAAAGATTCTTTTGAACGTTAGATACATGTTCATCTTCCATCGCTGCTTCCCCTTTCGAGTAGCGGAGGCAGACTCGTCAGACAGAGCTTCCAACGTTCCCGATCCTGTGC